AGACACTCTCTCGACTAATGGGTCAGAGGCTAATGTAGGGGGGTGGTAACGGAATCGGCTATAATGCAACACAGTGCCAATGCCGACTCAGGTCTGAGGTGGGGGGCAGGGCAGCGGGGAGAGTGAGAGCCAGGGCTCCCTTCTTTGAGGCCAACGACCCCCATCCACTTCCTGCCCTCTAGTCTTCTGTGATGCCTGATGTGTTCTGTCCCAGGGCTGCGGATAGGAGAGGGCGGGTGCTCCTGGCCATGCTCCTGACCTGTTGTCTTCTTGTACCTTCCCACCCCGCAACCATCACTGCTAGAGCCCAGCTGGAGACAACTCTGAAGTCGAAGAACTACGAGGGGAAGTTCCGGCTGCTGCTGCACCTGGAAGAGCTGCAGATGGAGCATGACATTCGGCACTATGACCTGGAGTCGGTGCCCATGACCTGGGACCCTGTGGCCCAGAACCCCAGGCTGCTCACACTGGAGGTCAGGGTTTGGATTGGGTGTGGGGAGGTGGCTACAGACAGAACGCTGTCCCTGATGGCAGGGCGAAACAGGAGGGATGAAGCAGCTCCTGCCCCAGAGGTCTCAGCGAGAAGCGTAATGGGCATCCTGTGCCCAAAGAATGTCAGCAGGGGAAGGGGAGCACACCTGGATTTTGTCCAGGCTTTGCTGCCACCAGCTGTGTGGCCTTGGGCAAGTCCCTTGTTCTCTCTAGGCCGTGGTCCCCTCACCTGAAAAGCACAGAGCTGGACCAGACACTTAGAGCCCTTTCCAGCTCTCGGATGTTGGATGTGTCCACAGAAGCCCAGAATTATACCAGAATGGACTCCTGCACACAAGTGATGAGGAAGGGGCGGGGGTGAGGATCAGGGAGGCTCCTGCAGGAACTGAATTTTGAACGAGATTTTCAAGGCAGAGTAGGTCAACTGGCCAGGCTGGAAAGCTGGCTCCCAAGTCCTAAGGTATCACGCGTTAGAGGGTTCCTGGGACACCTGTGCTCAGCGTCTCTGAGCAGCTTGGACATACTTATCGCCTACCTTTTCCCTGACTCGTGCGCTGTTTAGTGGGAGAGGAGAGAGGCAAAACTCCCTGAGTCTTGGGGAAGAAGGGTAGAGCCTCAGTCAGAGGAGGCCTGGAGAGCCTGCAGGTTGGACCCTCCAGTAGGCCTCCCTGGGATAGTAGCTTGCTTGTGTTCCTACCCCATAGGTTCCCGGGGTGACTGAGAGCCGCCCCTCAGTGCTCCGGGGAGACCACCTGTTCGCCCTTTTGTCCTCTGAGACACACCACGATGACCCTGTCACCTACAAGGGCTTTGTGCACAGGGTGGAATTGGACCGTGTCAAGCTGAGCTTTTCCACGAGGTGAGTGTTGGTAAACCCTGAGCTGCCAGAAGGGTCAACAGACATCTCTCTGAGGCCAGAAGAGGAGGGGTGCTTGTTCTTGAGATGAGTGGGACCCCAGGGCCAGCAGGAGGCTTTTCTTCACGGGGACCCTGAGATGCCCCCAGCAGCGCCCTCTCCTGGAGGGATTGCTTGGAGGTGGGAGTGGAGTTGGGATAGATGAAGAGTCCTGCCGTTCATTGCCCAGCCCCCTGTCTCGCTCCCTTCCCAAAGCCTCCTGAGCCGTTTTGTGGATGGGCTGACCTTCAAGGTGAACTTCACCTTCAACCGCCAGCCCCTGCGGGTACAGCATCGTGCCCTGGAGCTGACGAGGCGCTGGCCGCTGTGGCCCACGCTCTTTCCTGTGGCCTCCCGTGGGGTCCCGCTGCTGCCCTCGGATATGAAGCTCACGTGAGACTGTGGGCAGGGGGGCTGTGGGCTACTTGGAGTGTAGACCTAGAGAATGGGATCAGGGAGGCCTCTGGAACACTGGATGACGTCATGTCCCGGCCCCTCTGCCAGGCTGTATGACCGGAATCTGGAGTCGAACCCTGAGCAGCTACAAGCCATGAAGCACATTGTTACGGGCACCACCCGTCCAGCTCCCTACATCATCTTTGGGCCTCCAGGCACTGGCAAGACTGTCACCTTAGTGGAAGCCATCAAACAGGTGGGGCCTGAGCATAGTCCTGGGGCCTATACTCCAGCTCCCCCAGGTCCAAGCAGTTGTCCCCAGATTCTGGTTCCTTGCAGCTTCTAACGCCTCTAACCTGGCGTCACAGGCCAGTGTGGCTGCTGAGCGTTGTTGCACAGGTTGTGTACTGCACGACTCTCGGCATCACCGTTCACATTTCAGTCATCATAGACTTGTTTACTTACTGCAAGTTTTCTAGTATTAAAATGCTATTTGGACTATCGGGACTGGGGTCAGAAGTTGTCTTTTGTGTCACTGCCTCCCTCAGCTTCGGGAGGCAGATGCCACACTGCATCAGCCTGAGTCACAACCCCATTCTGAGTCATACCACAACCTAAATGACAGCTGAGTCTCCGTCTCCACACCTTCCTTCCTCCCTCGCCCCAGACCAGGAAGCTGCTTCCCACACTGCTTATCCCTCCCCACTCAGGTGGTGAAACACTTGCCCAAAGCCCATATCCTGGCCTGCGCTCCATCCAACTCAGGAGCTGACCTCCTCTGTCAGCGGCTCCGGGTCCACCTGCCCAAATACATTTACCGTCTCCTGGCCCCCAGCAGGGACATCCGCATGGTGCCCGAGGACATCAAGGTACCTGGGGAAGTACAGGACGCTAAAGGATGGCGGGTGCTGCGGTGGCTCTCAGGGTAGACTTTGCCCAGGAAACTAGGAGACCTGGATTCTGATACTGCGTTACCTTGGGTGGGTCAGGACCCCTCTCTGGCCTTCAGTTTCCTTGTGTATAAAGTAAGAGGTGAATGAAATTGCCTGGGGGCCCAGAGCCAGCATGACGGTGAGAATGGTTGGGGCCAAGCTGATCCTCTTCTCCCTTCACGATCCTCAGCCCTGCTGTAACTGGGACACAAGGAAGGGCGAGTACGTGTTTCCAGCCAAGAAGAAGCTGCAGGAATACCGCGTCTTAATTACCACCCTCATCACTGCCAGCAGGTGGGAAGTGTGTATGTGTATCTCCTAATCGTGTGTGTAAGTCAAGAGGTTGCAGGATAGGGAGTGGGGTGAGGGGCCAGCTTGGATGAGCATTCCAGTTTGGTAGTCAGGTGCCTGGGTATGACCCCTGCCTGGCCTGACACCTCCCAGGTTGGTCTCGGCCCAGTTTCCCATTGATCACTTCACACACATCTTCATCGATGAGGCTGGCCACTGCATGGAGCCCGAGAGTCTAGTGGCCATAGCAGGTGAGGGGTGTAAGGTGGGCTGCGGGCACGCCACCCTACGTGGGTTCAGGGAGGTCCCACCACTTACCTTTCTCCCCATGCCACCTTGCCCCCTAGGGCTACTGGAAGTCAAAGAACTGGACAACCCAGGAGGACAGCTGGTGCTGGCAGGAGACCCTCGGCAACTGGGGCCTGTGCTGCGTTCCCCACTGACCCAGAAGCATGGGCTGGGGTACTCAATGCTGGAGCGGCTGCTCACCTACAACGCCTTGTACAAGAAAGGCCCCGATGGCTATAATGCCCAGTTCATAACCAAACTCCTACGCAACTACAGGTACCCTGCAAACCCCCCACCCCTAATGCCGTCCTGCACCTTCATACCCTCCGTAGCCCCAGCTAAATGCTCCGTCTTACAGTCCTGTTGCTTAGAGGCTGTGGGATGCAGGACTCTGAACCGGAAGGTCAGAGGAGCGGCTCCTCTTGGGCCCCATCACGGTACTTCTTGGCCGTGTGACTTAGCAAGTGGCTTTGCTCTAGAGCAGGTTTGCCTGTCTGTATATTGAGGGATGGTCAGTGGATCCCAGACACTGGGATGTGTTGGATGTGGGTCCCAGATGAAGTTTCCAGGCAATCCACAGAGAAATGAGAAAAATAGGGACAGTGTAGTTTTTCATTAACCTGACTGTTATTCAAATTAAAAAGCAACCCTTCCTTTAATCAGTGAGTTCATACATCTAAGCCGCTCAGGTGAGTTCCTAAGGCCTTAGTTCCTTAGGTGAGTCCGCTAAGAGTTCACTCAGTGTTAGCTGTTAGTGTTTTTTATGTTTTGGGATTTAGTACATTCTCTCATCAAATAATGGTGATAATTGATGATACTCATTTTTTTTTTTTTTTAGATTTTTTTTTTTTTAATTGGGGAATTGGGGGGATGGGAACAGTGCTGGGGAATTACGGGAAGGGGAACAGACAAGTTGCTTTCCTTTTGTTCTTCAATCTAGTTGTGGAGGACATTGCTTCACTGGCCCAAGTTGGCACCATCATTGCGCTCTTCCAGGGTGAGGCAGATCAGTCNGAAGAGCGCAATGATGGTGCCAACTTGGGCCAGTGAAGCAACGTCCTCCACAACTAGACTGAAGAACAAAAGGACAACAACTTGTCTGTTCCCCTCCCCCCAATTTCCCAAAAAAATCTTAAAAAGAAAAAAGATACCTGTGGAGCTTGGCTTCTGTCTGCATTTGAGCTTGTGCCTGATCCGTGGAACTTAGTGACTCGGTGACCAAGGGGCTGGTGAAAGTTACTGATGATGGCCAGATTTCATCCCGTTATGACTGAACCCCTCGGACTGACACCTGATTGTGAGACGTCCTCCTGATAGTCTTCCCTCTGTTGGGGTTCCTTCTCTGATTTCTCCTGACCTCAACTACCTTCAGACTACACCCTCTCTCCCTGAGGAGATCCCCAACAGTTCTATGGTTGTAACTGCTACCTGAGAGCTCCCTAATATTAGGCTCTACTTTGATTTTGGCCTGAGTTCTCAGCTTCCGACCCATGGAGCCAGCCGCCTCTGGATCAGAGGAATCTCAAACTGAGCATGTCCAGATCCAGATGTCGTGCTCAGTCCCTCCAACCTCCTCCTCCTCCTCCTGTCCTACCTCTTAATCTCAGGAATAGTCAAGGAGCCAAGCCACTGATTAGGGTATTATTGTCCTAAACTCCTCCTCCTTTCTAGTCTCCATTCCCCTTCCTGTCAATCACCAAGCCCTGCTCATTTTAGTCTACATATTATCAGATCTGGCCCTTTTTCTGTCCTTACCACTGCCCTGTTCAGGCCCTTGTCAAAATCTTTTAATTGGACTATTGCAATGGCCTTCTTCTAACTGGTCTCCCTGCCTACAGTCTTGCCTCCAGCACATCCACCCTCCAATCCTGATGCCAGAGTGATCTGAAATGCAAATATGATCTTGCCTCTCCCCTGCTTAAAACCCACCAACCAAGGTGGTTCTGTAACCACAGTGTAGCCTCTGATGCAGGCTGAAAGTAAGTCGTTACTACTGCTGCTACTATTAGTACTACTATTACTACTAATACAAATACTAATAATAGTACTTAACATTTACTGAGCATTTTCTATTGTGTTTGCAAATGATTCATTATCTTTTTTCAAATCAGAGCCCATTCCAAGTTCTCCGAATAGTATCATGCTCATTCATTTGGGGTGAAGGAAAGGGGCAGAGTTACAGGCAGGGGGCAGGGCACCAGGGAAATGTCTATCACTAAATTATCTTAATGTATGCTCGTGAGTGACCATGCTGATGTAGCCTTAATAGTTAAATAGTGATTACCATGGTTCTTAGGAACTGGGGTTTGGTTTCATTCCCTGTAAAGCATCCAGGGAGGGTGGTCAGCTGTCTAGATCTTGAATATGTCCATGAAGCATGTCACGTGTGGTGTCTTCTGGTTCCTGGGTGCCAGTTAAAGGGAGAAGACTGCTGGCCTTCAGGGTCAAGTGCAGGCTTCATGACCTGTCATACAGAAGACTGTATGACCTGTTCCCTGCCCACCTCTGCTGCCTCCTGCCACACTACCTTGCGCTTTTCACTCTAGTACAACCAGACTGTGATACTAACCATAGCTCACCTTATCGAGGTCTCCTTATGTGCCAAGCACTGGGTTAAGTAGTTCACGGCAGTGTCCGTCTCATGTAGTCCTCACAACCCCGCGAGGTAAGTCTGTCGTTGTTCCCATTTTATAGAGGAGGAAAGCGAGGCTCTGAGAGGTGAAATAACGCAAAGTAACGCTAGTGGCAGAGCAGGCAGTCCCCCAGCGCCTGCACACGAGTTCTTGCATGCCTCTCCACCTGACTCACTCCTCTCATACCTGTTGGCGCCCATTCATCCTTCAGTGCTCAAGTCCTATGCTGGCTCCTTTGGAAGCCTTCATGGACACACACCACCCACCCTTTCCTCCAGGCAGGTTTGGGGCTCCTGCTGCTTGAAACCCCAGTATGTGGGACAGTGTCTGGCACATAACAGGTCTCTGTAAGTGTTTGCTGAGTTGACTAAACTGAGTTCCAGGCACGAAACATTGAAGTTCTTGTTCTTCTCACCGTTTTTCCCTGTCTTCACCTTCTCTAGGCACAAAGCCAAGCTATTTGATCTCTGGAGAAGGATCCTTTCCTTTCCTGCTTGGGTTCTACCTGCACCCTATGACTTTGGGTGGAAACTGCTGTCTGATCAGCCACGTTGCCCGCACACCCTGGACACCTGTTCTCCCTCTGACCCCTCTCACTCCCCTATCAGGCTGGACCCCAGGTCCACCCTCTGAATCAATTTACTCGCTTCCCCTTAGCTCTTCCCACTGGGTTGTTTGTATCTTTTTCTGTCCCAAATAGTTTTCCCCAAAATCTTCATTCCTTTCTCCCTCTTAGTCCTCCAAATTAATAGCCCACAAATGGCCTTTCCTTCTCAGAAATGCACGTCCATGACCTGCTGTTTAAAACAGTCGTATTTTGTCTTGGGAAGTCCGTTGACTTTCCTAAAAACATTGGAAATTCCTACGATCCCCAGCCTGAGCCGCCATCCCTGAGCCCTATCCTGTTCGCAGCAGAGCTGGTGTGTCCCCCACACAGTCACCCTCAGATGCTCTCCCCAGCATGCCACCTGTGCCCACTGGCCCTGCCTTCCCTCACTTCCCAGTCTCCTCTGCTTCCGGCAGCTTTGGGAGCCGGGTCCCTGGCTTCTCCTCCATGCTGTATGGGATGAAGATTTCAAACCTGGCCTATGTCACCAAGACCCAGGTCAGGTTCTTCAAACTGGACCGCCGGGCTGCCGACGTGGGGGTGCCAGAAAAGAGGAAAATGAAACCGGAGCTCGAAATCAGCACACACCACAAGTCACTGCTAGCCAAGATCTTTCATGACAGGTGTGTGTGTGTGTGTGTGTGTGTGTGTGTGTG